GTAGGATCTTTTTTTTTTTTTTTTTTTTTTTTGCTATAGGGCATGTACGCTTGCTGGACAGAGAGACAGAAACAAGAAATCACCTTCCGGGGGAATGGCCATGCTGCAATTCCTTCTCCTCCATTCTCCTCTTGGGATCTTGGGCACGCACGCACATGCGCCCAGCATGAGTTTAAGTCACAGGGTCCAGGACTAGAACCGTGGGGTCAACTACGTGGGAATTAAGCAACATAGCCATTACGCTAACTGCTGGTCCCTCCAATAGGATCTTGACACTATGATCCAGCCCTAGCTTTAGCCAACCCCATATCAGGGTGCCCAGTATATTCAGGGAGGATTTCCAACACAAATCTAGGACTGTCACATATGAGTGAGCTTCTTAGGACATCTTGCTTTACTGTGGCACCACTATCCAGCTCCACTGGGTACTTTTAAAATGAACCAAGCAGCAAAACACAGAATTATTTTAACACCAGGGACAGAAATCCCATAGCAAGCTTAAATATAACTCTTCATGGACCATCCGTGATGGCAGGGTGGCAACAAATGCTCTGTGATGTTAAACCCGCACAGGAAGGTCCCAGGTTCATGAATCCCTGTACATGCAGCCTGTGCATGTGACAGTGGCTTGGGCTGGCTGAGGTGGGCGGATTGCAGTGTGATGACCCTGTTGATGGTATCTGTCTTTCATTCTCTCTCTTGGTCTCTCTGTCTTTCATGAAAGAAGAAAATAAAAATTAAAAAAAAAATGCTTCTGATAGTTGAAACCCTCTTTGGCTCAGTTCTTCCTACTTTAAAAGTCCTTCCAATTGGACGACATGGAGAATTCGGGCAGATTACCTCTGTATCACGAATGTGCTGTCAGAGAGAGCACTTTGCAGCAAAATGTACTGGAATTACACTTACTCTAGGATAGTGTGTGGTGTGTTTATTCAAAGAGACCAGTTGCAGTTACCATTTCAGCCTATTGTTGACTTCTTCTTTTTTTTTTTTTTTTTTTTGGAGGTTTTGTTTAATGGGCAGTGTGCGCGCCCCGCTATAGGGCACATGTGCTCGCCAGACAGACAGAGAGAGAGACAGAGACACAGAAAGCAAGAAATCACCCCCTCAGAGGGGATGGCCACACTGCAATCCCTTCTCCTCCATTCTCCTCTCAGGATCTTGGACACACATGCACATGCGCCCGGCGTGAGTTTAAGCCACTGGGTCCAGGACTCGAACCATGGTCGGCTATATGGGAGTTCGGTGACACAGCCATTACGCTAACTGCTGGTCCCCTTGACTTCTGACATTAGATTTCCCGTATCCAAAGTGTCCTGAACATTTAACATACCATGTGTACAGTGGTAAGAATGCACATAACCTTGGCTAGGGATTGCATAGGGTAACATTTTAAGACTCTGTTCTTATGGATAAAATTAGAAAAATAATTTTGGCTTTGCCCCCATTTCCTAATAGACATTTAATTATTCTATTATTTTTAAATTACTATTTGTGCCAAATAGGGGCTGCATCTGCTCAGTGGCTGTCAGTAGATGTGTTGTCTAGAGATGCACAACCTCATGGGAAGTATGTAGTGAAAAAACAATAAAGCACAACTGTGTTTTCCTTTCTAATTCATGTGAAAAGTTAGGGAAACTTGGCAAAAAGCAGGTTCATGCTCATTCTATATAATCCTTAATATTCTAAATGAAAAAGGAAATGACTAGTTTCTCTTCATTTGAGCAAGACTGCAAAGAAAATGCAAACCCTCCTATTTTGTTAGCAAGTTAGAACTTATTTCATATTTCACCCACATTTCAAATTGACCTAGAATTCATTTATAATCAACAGTCATTAACTCCCTGTGATTTGCAAAGTACCTTGGTTTCTGGTGAAAATAACCTGTCAGTTCTGCTATGAACTGCATGTGACAAGATGTAATAAAATCACATTATGATCTCAAGCACACAGACATGTATTCTGAAAGGGATAGATTGCAAAATCATTTTTAAAAGCTCAAACAAAATCATTTTCCATAAAAACCCTTTAAACTACAAAAACAGGAGCTGAAATACGAACATGCAATGAGTCCGTTGTTCATATGAATAAAAATAAATATTTTTTTCTATAATGAACAAGAAAAAGCAGCTCAGTGTGTTCAGTAAACATAACAAACCCAAACGGATTTTAGTTGGCAAGTGGAAGTTGCTGATGTTTCTTGGAGAGAGTTCAGATTCTCAGGTTGATACAGTGCTCCCTCCCACAACCCTGACATGTATATAAACTCTGAGCTCTCCAAAGCCAGCTCTCTTCGCGGACTCACTGCAACGGAGAGACTAAAGATGATTCCGTTTTTACCCACATTTTCTCTGCTCTTGCTGTTTGCTGTTAACCCTGCAAATGCCAATGGTCATTATGACAAGATCTTGGCTCATAGCCGTATCAGGGGCCGGGACCAGGGGTAAGTCAGTCCTTGGGTTTTGTAAAACATATTCTCCCTCTTAGTTTCTTGCATGTGCAATTGTACATAAAATCTCTTATACAGCCCTCAAAACCCCCTTTGGGTACTTTTTCTACTTATTACAAAATGAGTATTCTGAGAAATACATATGCATTTTATACTTTAAGAAATACAGTCAAAATAACTTAAGGATAATTGTTTTTCATGAGACATGATATATTTTAATCTGAGAAAATTTAACAAGGCATGTCCTTACCATTCAGTTTGTGTTTATCTCTACGAAAATCTGGAATGCTGCTTTCAAAATTAAAGAACCTATTGTTAGAGATTTTCATTATGTAGATAGCTTTGATATATTTTGCATAGTATTAGAGCAAATTTCAGTTAAATCATGTGTCTAAATTAGATACTGGGCATTATAACTAGTTCTCTGAATCTTTTGAAGCATTTAATTAACTTGTAAATTCTGTAGTTCATAAAACTTGCAAAATCATGTACACTTTATAGAATAAACACAACTGAGCAATTTTTAAAGTTAGCTGGTAGTATTTGTTCACTTCACCAACCCATTTTTAATATTTTTAAAGTGGGTCTTGACACTTTTTTTCCTCAGAGGTATTTTCATAATGTCCAAACACTCCCTTGCCTTGCAGTGGAAATAAGACTTCTATCTCTTGAAGAAGAAAACAAACAAACAAATAAACATCTTAAAATTGTGGCAGAAGATGTTCTGATCTGTTTTTTGTATTTAAATAAATAAATTCTCCTTTGTGTAACCATATTGTTTAAAATTTAATTTTAGCATTCATTTTACATTTGTGATTACTTACCTAGAAAATTGCAGCGTAGAGTGTCTTTGTACATGTTTTACTTGATCTGGCTCTCTGAGCTCCCATTGTTCCAGAGCTCTAAAACACCCCTTCCCCCCACCAATGACCACATGTTTGGTTTAAAAAGGAGCCAGTGGTTTAGCCACCATGCACATAAGAACAGAATTATGTTCAATTTAATGCTATTTGAGTACTGCTATTAGGTTAACTTCTCTCCCATAGACTTTACTTTTTCAATGATTCAGTAGGATGAATCAAGAGTTAGATTTCTGCAAGGCTTGAATCACATCTTTGAATATCAAATCTGTAGCTCAATTTTTTTTTTTTTTTTTTTACCCATCTGACTCATAGGTATGAAAGACTTGCCATCATGAGAACGTTAACTCTTTTTTCCTTTCCTTTATTCTCTAGCCCAAATGTCTGTGCCCTTCAACAGATTTTGGGCACCAAAAAGAAATACTTCAGCACTTGTAGGAACTGGTACCAAGGTGCCATCTGTGGAAAGAAAACGTAAGTCTCACCTTTTTTCATGATGTTCCAGGTCCAGAGACAGCACCATGATGTGTATACCTTCCCGTGGGTATGCACACCATTCTTCATGAAAATACCATCCCCCTTTTAAAAGAAAAGAGCATATAAGTAACTAAGAAATCTTCCCTACATCTCCACTACTACTAGTGAGACACAGACCTCTCCCTGAATCCATGGTTGTAGAGGGCCAGAGGACGTGGAGCACATGGCAGTGGGATTTGATACTGACTTCATGTGGGCAATTGCCTACATTATTTATATTCTCGCTTTGGCCATCATTTATCCAGGCAAGTAAGTTAGCCCCTGTGCCTCAGTTTCCTCATTTTGTTTCAAAGAAAGATTAGGCCAAAAGGAAAAATGGATCAATATAATCTGGGTTTCTGAGGCAAAAATTAATGTTTGCCTACAGTCACTTGGAAATCTTCTGAAGTACTTCAGGTTACCTCCATGTTTTCATCAAAGCTAACGTTGGAAAGGATAAGAGTTCATCTCTTCACTGGATTCAGCAACTCCTAGCTCAAATTGCCAGACATGGATTCTACAAAGGTTCAAACAGAAGCCCATCTCAGTGCTAAACATTCCACAGCTGAAAGGATGATTACTTTTAGTTTAGTGATAGGCTTCAATGATTAACTTGAAATTGGAAAACATTACACCTCATAGACATTCTTTTGGGTTTATTCTACTAATAAATATTGGTAGGAAAAAAACTTAAACAATTAAAACCCTGGACATGTAAAGGTTAAGGATTATTCATATGGTCTAAATTCAATATTTTTTTAATTGCCAGAGGGTACTTGCATTTTCAAGAGAGAGATAGAGAGATACAGAGAGAGCAAGGGATGGGATCAGCAGATGGAGTAATGGTTCCATCACTGGACTCCCATGTAGTCGACCATGGTTTGAGTCCCAGACTTGGTGACTTAAAACTCACACCAGGCACGTGTGTGCCCAAGATCCTGAGAGGAGACTGGAAGAGAACAGATTGCAGCGTGGCCACCCCACCCTCTCTGGCGGGGGGGGGGTGATTTCTCACTTTCTTTCTCTGTCTCTCTATGTCTCTCCAATGAATGCATGTACCCTATAGCAAAAAAAAAAAAAAATACTCTCCAAATATAAAAAAGAGAAAGAGAGAGACTGAGAGAGCAATTTTGTATGGAGTGTGGGTGTGGTCATGCTGCAATCCCATTCCTTCATTTCTTTGTCCTGCTGAGCTTTTGGGCACAAACACACTCACCCCCACACACACACCAGTAAGTTTTTGAACCATGGTCGGTCATATGGGATCTGGCTTCCTTAATCACTAGGCTATGGGAAAGATCCCTGGTCCGGATTTTATTTCACTGTAAGAGCTGGGTCTAGATAGGATAGTTACGTCATCAGAAAAGGGTTAACTGTCATCACCATTAAACAGTGGAAATAGCTCCCTCCTGTGTCCTATTAATTTGAACCCCACCCTCAGTGAAGGATGCTTAAAGAACAGAAGTTTCAAAGAAGAATCTGCTTAACACATCATTAAAATTACTCCTCCAAGTAGGGTGGAAGAATTGTTTAAAACTTATTTCCAGATTAGTAAAATTTTTATAAATGTTAAAAATAGAATCACTTAACCTCTTGCAGACTTTGCATATAAAACATGAATATGATATCTATATTATAGGGTTTCTGGAATGATAAACAAATGAATGTAAAATTACTAGGTAATTATAAGTCATAATATTCATTGTCCTTGGGAACCAGCAGTTAGCGTAATGGCTATGTCGCTGGACTCCCACGTAGTCGACCGCGGTTCGTGTCCCGGACCCGGTGGCTTAAAAAAACTCACGCTGGGCGCGTGTGCGTGCGTGCCCAAGATCCCGAGAGGAGAATGGAGGAGAAGGGATTGCGGCGTGACCATCCCCCCTGGGGGGTGATATCTCGCTTTCTGTCTCTATGTCTCTCTCTGTCTGTCTGGCGAGCGCATGCGCCCTACGGTGAAAATCTCTCAAAAAAAAAATATATTAATTGTCCTTAAAAAAAAACTTTTTTCAACAAATGTGTATTTGTAGGTGGGAAAAGGAGTTGCGACCAGATTCTTATTTAAAATGCCTATGAGTATCTTAGCTTCTCAGTTAGAATCTTATATACAGAGGGACCAGCAGTTAGCATAATGGCTATGTCGCTAGACTCCCACATAATCGACCGTGGTTCGAGTCCTGGACCCGGTGGCTTAAAACTCATGCTGGGCACATGTGCGTGCGTGCCCAAGATCCCAAGAGGAGAATGGAGGAGAAGGGATTGTGGCATGGTCATCCCCCCTGGGGGGTGATTTCTCGTTTTCTATCTCTCTGTCTCTCTCTGTCTGGCTGGTGAGCACACACGTCCTATAGCAAAAACCTCTCCAAAAAAAAAAAAAGAATCTTATATACAGGAGCACTCCCGTAGCTAGACCGTATAGCTCTGTGATGGCCAAGTCTAGGACATCACAAGACATTGCTACTGTTTTCCTGTTCATTGATTTAATAGGGTTTCGACAAAGTTATTTTTTGACCTGGCCATTATTCTCATGGATTTACAGACATCTGCTAGACTTGTGAGTCATTCACAGAATAATAATGCAAGTTAGTGGTTACGATGATTTTGATGTGCTGCAAACCAGGCTCTAGTTTGGAATTCTGAGACTCTGGACTTTCCCATCTTTGTTTTTCATATTCTTGGATACCATGAGCCTTATATGGCATGCACACTAGATAAGAACGGAGTTGCTATCTGAAATATTTAGAGGAAATCATTGTTACATCCTTCCTGGAAGCTGGGATTTATGACATAATCTTACTTTACCATCTAATTATATTAGAAATGTCAAGGCTGATACAGAGCATATGCCAAGATTCATTCTTGCTTTCCACATTAAAAAAAAAAAAAAAAGTCCTGTTTTGAAGCCTGGCTTTTTACCAGAAATGCAACAGCGTTTTCTTTGTTCAGTCATAATTAGCTTACTTTCCCAAGTAGCTTCAGTTTTGTAAATGCATTTACATCTGTGCTCTAAAACAAAGGCAAATGCTACTATCAAATAACCAAAGAAATCAATAATATTGACAGGAAGAATGCTTGGTTTGCCATCTGCTTGCTTCTGCTAAAATTGTCACAGACATTTTCAAAACCCTATGAATTGGTTGATAAAACTGTTTGCCTTCTGGTTGAACACTTGCTCTGGGAATTTGAGAGAAGTAAACTCAGCAGGCTTCAACAAAAACATGAAGTGTCCTAGGTTTCAGGTATTTCCCACAATCTACACGGGTCCATAAGACAGCATTCTGTGGCGTCATTTCAGAGAATATCAGTGACATTTCTAGTTTATATTCCAAGAAATTTTAAATATTATTCAGAAAACAAAAATAAATTTTCTATGTCCAGAGCTGTGTATAGTAGTAATTTTTCTTTAACCTTGCTTGGACCTATTGACTATATGGAAACACTGAGCTTTACATAGCATAAACATCTTTCATTAAAATCTTTTTCTTGTTTTTAAAGTTTTTGTTAAAAAACAACTATATTCTTTATCAACCTGATGGCATTACAATCAACTGTTCTAGAATTTGGAGCCTTATCTCTATAAAGGTTGATCTTCCGCATGTGTTAAAAATGTTTTAGTTTGTATTAATAACTTTGTCTTCCTTTTATTATTTCATTTAAAATAAGTATTATCAGCCTTTGGATGAAGCACAGTTTATATCATTTCTTATTGCTTACAATACATAACGCCAATGCATAAGCTATTCATAATCCCTTAGTATCCAAATTTTCAAATTTATTTATGTACAAATCCATGTAATGAAATTTTCTAGCTCCTAAATTTGGAACATGCACATATGCATGTTCTTCAGGCTGCCAGGTCCAGAACTCAATCCACACAGTCAGCCATGTGGCTTCCAGCTGCCTTAACCACCACACTAGCAGCTGGCTCAGAAAAAGTATTTTATTCTTATGGTTAGCAATCTATCTCCTAAATATATCCAAGTTTTTCCATTCATGCATACTCTAGATAAAAAGTATTTCACAACTAGATAAAAAATTTAAAAATAGGATGTGAATTAACTAATTTATTTTTAATTACTAGATATCAAAATAATGTATCATAATCTGAATGATATTGAATTTTTCAATGAAAAATTATGAATTAGTCAATCTTTCCTTCTCACTTGCAATAATCCGTCTATTTCCAGTTGATGTTTGATACATTCATTTTTACATTTCTATTGAAAGAAACATATATTATTATATAAAATTTTAGTTAAAAAATACTACCTATACTACATCTTGAAGAAGTCCAGAAAATGTCTGATGGAATTTGATAAAATGAAAATCAGGATTACATAATTAATAAAGTGGAAAAAATGGAAACAATTATTTAGAGAATTTTCGATTGTTGTTTTTCCCTATAGTAAACCCAAATAAGTTATTTTGAGTATATTTTCATTTGCTTTAATTTTCCAATCTGTTGCCTTAATTATTGCCTGTACAACTTAACAAACATTATTCACTATCAACAGGGTAGAAGAGTCTTGGATGTTGTACTATAATAACTTGAAACAAACTTATTTATATTGTTTTTCAGTATTTACCAAAATAAAAATAAATAGAAGATTTTAAAGATTGTTTCATATAATCAAATTAATAACTCTACTGACATTTCAAACCAAAAACCAGCATTATTTATTAGCCACAAGATGATGTTTTATTGATTTGAATTGATTAATGTATTTTCTGATGTTTCTAATAACCTTATACTGATGACCATTCTAGATATTTATAGTTTATCAAATAATTTCAAAAGCATTATTTTATTTGAAATAAACAGCTACCTTGTGTATAGGTATTATTGCTACTATAGTCATGCTAAATAGGGAAACCAAGACTAACACTAATTTTAAATGACTAGATAATTTTTTTTTTTTTGGAGAGATTTTTGCTATAGGGCATGTGTGCTCACCAGACAGAGAGAGACAGAGAGACAGAAAGTGAGAAATCACCTCCCAGGGGGGATGACCATGCTGCAATCCCTTCTCCTCCGTACTCCTCTCGGGATCTTGGGCACGCATGCACACGTGCCCGGTATGAGTTTTAAGCCACTGGGTCCGGGATGCAAACCACAGTCAACTACGTGGAAGTCCAGCAACATAGCCATTATGCTAACTGCTGTTCCCAATAATTTAAAACTTACTAAATGAGTTGTCATTTATTAAATGACATGCCTATAAGGTAGTAGAGCTTCAAGCCAAATTCCTTTCTTCTAGATAGAGTCTTGAACTTTACATAGTAACATGAGTAATTGAACAAATATAAATATATTGGTGCTTGGGGAAAAATTTATCTCTATATGCCCCATAAATCATGTCATTAAGTAAGGTATTTTGCTAAATTTATGTCAAAATGTACTCTGTGTTCTCCATTTTAATATTAATGTTCTTCCAATGTACAGAACCGTATTATATGAATGCTGCCCTGGTTATATGACAATGGAAGGAATGAAAGGCTGCCCAGCAGGTAAAATTTCAATTTTCTAACTTAAATGAGGACATTTTCTTACATGAGAAAAAAGAAACTTATCTCTTACATAAGATAGCCTGTGGAGAAGTCCATTGTGTAGTGTTTGTTCGTGTATATTTAGCACCATCACAAGTCCCAGGTTTAGCCATCTTTTCTTTGTGTTATTATGAATTTATCATGGTGATAAGATAGAAGAGCACCCTTTTCATGTACTGGGAATTGGGCAGTACAACAGAAGCCTGGTCATAAATTCAAATAGTTAGACTTCCCTTCAAGAACAAAAATCCTCTCTAAAAAATTCTCTTTAAACGTGTCTAGAAACATGGAACTTTGGCAAGGCATCAAGTTCTCTAGTTGAATAGTTTTTGCAGTTTTCCTTACAAGGAAATTTGGTTTCCGATAATTCTGTCAACTAGGAAAAAAAGAAAAATTCATCTGTTTCCATGTTGAAATGACAAACACTTGGCTGTCCAATGGCAATCATCATGCCCCTCCTCCAACTACAAGCTCTCCCACAACAGAATCTTTTCTGGGCATATCATTACCATTTCTTCAAATATGATATTAGCTCTGGAGTCCTTACTGTCATGGACACCAACCCATAGAAAGTACCTAGTTCAATAATCCCTTTTCTAAATGTGATCCCAGATTGGAATCTACAATCCAAGAATATCTAATAACCTGAGAGCCTATCAAGACAAGTACCTCATTTTGGGAAACCATGCACCTTAGTTAATGTCATTGGGGGTCATATTATATCATTAATTCATATTGAATTTGTAACCAATTAAAATTGATTACAGGTTTTGTTGTTTGCATGAATTCTATCAAGGCAGATCTCTCAAGGACTTGCTTTTTCAGTATAGGCAGGGAATTTACATGGAATTCTTTACAATTCAACCTTACTCATCTTGACTCATCTCTCATCTTTTTGAGGGTTTTTTGGTCCATTTATTTTGTTTTAGGTTTTTGCTATAGTGCATGTGCACTCACCAGAGAGCAGAGAGACAGAGATACAGAGAGATATAAGGTGAGAAATCACCCCTCGGGGGAATAGCACAAATATAAATATATTTGTGCTCATACTCCTCTCGGAATCTTGAGCACACATACATATGTGCCCAATGTGATTTTTAAGCCACCAGGTCCAGGACTCAATCCACCGTTGGTCACATGGGTAGTCAGCTGCTTTAACCACCATGCCACCTGCTGGCCCCTTGAGGTCTTTTTAAATGCTAGTTTTATAATCTATTATTTGTCTCATCTAGTGTTGAGCTATTCACAAATATAATACAACTCTTATATATAATATAAGCTGCATTAATTTTCACATCAGATAGGGTCAGAAAAAACTATTTGGCTTCACCTCACTAAATAAATCCTATCAGGTTGACATTCATATGTATATCTTTTATGTAATGTTCAGGAGAAATACTATGAAAGTGTTAGATACTTTGATCCATTTTCTTCTTGAAATTATAATGAAAACAAACAGGTCTACATATTTTTCAAGAAACCAAACCTATGAAAATTATAGATTTAATAACAGTACAATACTATTCATATTTAGAAGATTCAATCCAACATGATAAAAATAATTGTCTTTGCCTTTTTCAGTGAGAAGTGAAGAATATCTATTTTTTTCAGTGAAATATCAGACATATTAGAATATTACTATTTCTAATCATTATAATTAAGCTATTATTCCCATAGCAACACTGAATCTAAATAGACTAAATGTTAAGTCAAAATCATAGTTTAAAATGAATTCTTGGGACCAGCAGTTAACGTAAGGGCTATGTCTTTGGACTCCCATGTAGTCGACCGTGGTTCACGTCCTGGACCCGGTGGCTTAAAACTTACATCGGGTGCGTGTGCATGCGTGCCCAAGATCCTGAGAGGAGAACGGAGGAGAAGGGATTGCAGCGTGACCATCCTCCCTGGGGAGGTGATTTCTCACTTTCTGTCTCTCTGTCTCTTTCTGTCTGGTGAGCACACGTGCCCTATAGCAAAAACCTCTCAAAAAAAAAAAAAAGAAAAGAAAAAAGAATTCTCCCTCGACACAAAGGATATATGAAATAATGGTTTTTGATAGTATATAATTATTTAAGCATTCAAAAAGCAACTCTGATATAAAATTGATAATTCTTAGAATTTTATTGTAAAAATTAGTAGTGAAATGTATTGAGAAGCATAGTGTAAAGTTTAAATGACTGCAAAGTAATATTCAGGAAGTATTTATCTCTTACCTTAGTAATGCCTATCGACCATGTTTACGGTACTCTGGGCATCGTGGGAGCCACCACAACACAGCGGTATTCCGATGTCTCCAAACTGAGGGAGGAGATTGAAGGAAAGGGCTCATTCACTTACTTTGCACCAAGTAATGATGCCTGGGACAACTTGGATCCTGTAAGTCATTATTTACATATTGTTATTTTGCTGTTATTGTTTTATCACCTTAGATATTTTTAGAAATGTATGTCATTTTTAATTGTAGATATGTGAAGATACATACAAGAATGAGTTACTGATGGAAGTAAAGCATTTGAATATATTTATAAATAAACTAACCCCCCAGAAGACTTACAGATAATTTTTTTACCATAGGGCAGGCGCCACCACAATCTAGATAATTATTTTTAAAGATGAACCATGAACAGGTTGAAAGGGCACTCATTGTTACTCTATTTTACTCCTTTCCTTTTGGTTGTGAGAAGATATATGTCATCTTAGATGACATAACTAATAGAAAGCTACGAGAAACCTAGTGTGATGTAAAATCTACTGTAAACTATGTCACATAGCTATATTTAATTACATAGATTCAATTACAGGTAAATATATATGGCTATTCAAAGACTGGCAGATGTGGAAACACCCGTGGATATTAAATGAAGTGTTATAAACAATACATTTGATTTTCAGACTCATGTTTAGTCTAATTTAAAATACACTAAATTACGACTCCATTTCCAAAGGTGTAAAACTGGCATAGAAATGTATTCTTACCTTCTACTCAACAGAAGATGAATTGACAATTATTTCTAGAGTAGAATATACTACCAAAAGAAGCAAATGCCTGTAGGTATCATCCTGCTATATTACCTGCATGATCAGTTTGCATCGCAAAACTCTCTCTTCTGGTTGTTTCTCACCACATTTCTAGCTACCTCTCTGATTCCTTTTGCTGGTTTCTCTTCTTCCCTGTCTTAAGAATGTAACTTATCTGCTGTACATTACAGCAGATAATGTAAAACTTACTTTGCTGGATTCCCATGTAGTCGGCCAGAGTTTGAGTCCTGGGCCTGGTGCTTGGAAGTGACCCCAGTCGTGTGTGTATGTGCATGTCCAAGATACCAAGAGGAGAATGGAGGAAAAGGGAATGTGGCATGGCCATCCCACTGGGGTGATTTCTTGTTTCTGTCTCTCTGGAGAGCACACGCATTCTACGAAAAAATCTAAGAAACAAAAAAGAAAGAATGTAACTTATAGGGACCAGCAGATGGAGCAATGGTTGCATAGCTGGATTCCCATGTAGTCGACCATGGTTCGAGTACCAGACCCGGCGACTTAAAACTCATGCCAGGAATGTGTGTGCATGCATTCCCAAAATCCTGACAGGAGTATAGAGGAGAAGGGATTGAAACATGGCCATCAACCCTGGGGGAAGATTTCTTGCTTTTTGTCTCTCTTTCTCTCTGGCAAGCACACATGCCCTACAGCAAAAATCTCTCTAATAAAAAAGAAGAAAAAGAATGTAACTTATAAAACTCTCCTCTAAGAACTTGACTTTACTCTTTATGCATTTCTTTCTTTCTTTCTTTCTTTCTTT